CAAGTTGAATTTGAAAATGTAGTCGCATATTATACAGTTAATATTTCTGGGTACTAGAGAAGGAACCAATAACTAATTAGAGATATCCTCTCTTCCTTAAAATCAGAATCCGATTAATTGTAATCCCATATTTCCACATGTATCAATTGATTTTGCGAGAGCTAAAGCGCATTTAACATCAAGGTTGAGTTCACATTTTACATAACGAAAGATTAGAATCTTCTTTGTTCTGAAAGTGCTGCAGGATCTACAATCAAATATTGAAGCTGTGAGAAGAAACAGAGGGCATGGATGATAGAAGAAATGGAGTTGGGGTGAGAGCTTGAGGATACATGAGATGTGGACGAAGAATTTGCAGAATCTGCACCCAAAAGCAGGATCAACACAGGGTTTTCTGCAGGCGCTGCATTCAGCTTCTCTGTTGGCAAAAAGAGTCAAAGGATGAGCATGGATGAAATGATGGATAATGTTGTCTTGATTTGCAGGTTGTTCAAATGACAGCAGAGCACATTTAGTGTCAAGATAGAAGTTACAGAGCTCGCAGTGGTACGCCAAGGACTGTTCAAATGAAGTTTCACAGGCCTGGCATTTGAAGTTTTGGTTGAGGAGGACGAGAAGACATGGATGATAGAAATGGTGAAGCTCTTGTGGTGGTTCACCGCTGGATTCATGGAGGAAGAACCTGCATTTTCTGCAAGCATAGATGGGAAAAGCTGATAAGGGTTCATGACAGGCATCACAGTAATCTCCATTATCATCTTTCACCTTGCAGAATACCAAGGAGCGCTCATGGCTGGAGTGTTGGATCATCTCCTCCATCTTCTCTCCTTGATCTTCTTTTTCTTCTCTTGCAGAGAGAATAATGAAGATCTCTTTTGGTAATGTTGATATTATTTTATGATTTATTCTTCATAGTATTATTTTCACACTTTTCAAAGACTTCACTAGTCTTGCACTCTGTGATCTTCTTTCTTTTTTGATGTTGTTTTAACTCTAGTTTAGGAGGGTGGTTGAGTCAGAATAACTTATAAACTATAAGGAAAAAAGTTACTGGAATACTCAATGCTGCATCGCCAATAATATTATGCCTGCTTGAATATGATTACTTACATTAACTGTTTATTTACATACTCCAGTATATTCTTGTTTGTATAATATTTTATATAGTATTAAATTAATTGATATTTATATATCGATGAATATATTAAATTTTATTTAAAAAATTCAGATCAAAACTTTGAACTTGATTTTTTTAATAGATTGGTGGTTTAAATTAGATTCTAAAGTCAATTGAAATTTTACTTCAGAGTTAAATTAGGTCTATTTAAAAAATTATATGACTTAAACTCAATTTTAAAAATATAACAAAATTAGTAAGATAGAGCATGAAAGAGCTTAAACTCAAAAAATTATTAAAAATAATATAAATTAATATTTTTATTAATTTATAAATATTTTAATAATTAAATGATCCTTAAACGTCAACAACAACGTAACTAATAATACTAAAATCTCTTTAATAAAAATACACACGTAATGCACAGTTTGATCTGAACCCATATTCTCATAAAGAAGCTTAGATGTACTAATCATTTAATTTAAGGGACAGTTGAAAAGAATGATTATTAACTCAGATAATATTCTAGCCATTTACCTTGTAAAGTTGAAACTCCATTGACAAACCATGAGCAAATCAGGAATTCTTATGGAAGAGTACACATGAAAAACTAAAACCAAAGCCAAGAGAAATACCAAAAACTTTCATGAACTTGAATTGTTGAAGCCTTTTTGTTTATGTTCATGAACAGATAAGTACTTTCTCCTATAGGCAATCTTTCTACTTCTCTTGAATCTTCATTTGCTGTGTTTGATTCCTGATATCAATATTTCGGGTGCGTTCAGCTTGAAATATCTTGAGGTTTTTTACAACCCCGTCTAAGGTTGTTCTTAGTTTTTTTTTGTTTCATTTACTATTATTACCTGTAATTTTGCTTCTAAATCTCCCTTCTCCTCCTTTTTTATTTCTCTTTCTCTTTGGTTTTCTTCAGCTAAATCTCTTAGTTCCTCCAAAACTGAAGCAATATCAGCAATATCTTGGTCTAATTCGGTCAGAATATGATCTGCCGGAGAAATATCTTTCTTCCCTCCAGCAGAATCATCTTCTGTAATCTGAGCTAACACCTAACAACAGTGCTTTTTCTGAGAATGTTTGCATTATTGTAATTTAAATTGCAGAATAATAATGTGAGTGCTGGCTAGTTACACGTATGATTCAGTATATAAGTTGCACAAGAATTTAGGACTGATTCACTTATGAGCTAATATTAGAAAACTAACGAAAGATGGTGCATATAGGTCCCTTACCTAAGAGAGTGCGCACTGTATGTGAACGGTGAAGTCACATGAGGAACAATAATAGACAGGGTCCTCTGGATTTCTTTAAGTCTCACAAGCATCACAGTAGAACTCTTCATCTGGATCTAGCTGATCAAGATCATGCAAGTTAGCTAAGGTCAAAGGATCTATATGACAATGATGGTTGATTGTGTGTGGAACTGAGGGGTGACACTGAACATGGAGATTGAAACTGCATTCCACGCATCTGAGATACAAACCCTTGCAGATCTTGTTACAGCTCTTGCAGAGATCTTCTGAACAGCCTTCCTCGATCAAAGTGAGAAGATGCTCATGGTTTTCATACTTGGTGTTGGACATTATCAAGAAGCAATTTACATCAAGAGCAAATGAGCAGGTGAAGCAACAATAAGCAAATAATCCGCACTGCTTCTCACAGGAATTGCAAGGTGGTGATGAAGATTCCTCAAACATGGAAGGAATTGAAAGAGGGTGTTGCGGATGAGAAGGATGTGTGATGGGCGATGTCATTTTGGAACATGATTCATGTAAATAATACTTACATCTGTTGCAGCCATAGGCAGGACCTGAACACTCTTGGTTGGATGCTTTGCAGCAAATTTTATCGTTGCTAGCCTTGTAGTCATAGAGTGTCAATGGATGGAAATGAGATAAATGTATAATCATCTGGTCCAGACCTTCGGGTATCATGGTAGGCAGAAGGGCACACTGACATCCAGTAGGAGACTACAAGGTGCCAGCAGAAGGCTAAACTGGCATGTTCTTCATGACAAGCATCACAAAAGTAGTTGCAACTTGAGAGTAGGATGGGAGGGCATAGATGGGAGAAGTGTTGGATAGTTAGAGGTAAATTTTCCATGCAATATTTGGAGAAAAAAATTGCAGCAGTTGCAGCCATAGGTTTGGCTTGTGCATAGCTTTCTACATACTTGACAGCAAATTCCATCATCCTCCTTCTTGTCTGCAATCGTCAACTGATGTGCATGGCTTAAATGCCAAATCTGATCATCAGTATCTCCTTCTTCAGGTCTTAAGGTTACACATTCTGCGCCCACGACAAATTGACAGTGATCACAATGGTAATAAAAGCCCCAGTGGGATCTATGACAAGCATTACAGTAAACAAATCTACTCTCAAAGTATTGAGTTATCTTGAGAGCTAGAGGACATGGATGAAAGAAACATTGAATCTCTAGTGGTAGCTCAGAACAGAACTTATGCAGGTAAAATTTACCTTGGCTGCAACCATAGGCTGATTCTGGGAAGCCCTTTTGGCATCCCTTGCAAACGATTTCATTATCAATCTCTTCCAAGAGAGTCAAAGGATGCTCATGGCTGAAATGGTTAATCTCCATCCACAATAAGCTTTGACTTTCAAATAAGCCTCCTTGTGTTTGATTGTGAGAAATTTTCTTCCTTAAAAACTATTCATTCTCCTTTCTGCTCTCATTTAATTAGTATCGGTCAAACTTCCTGGATTAGACCATGTAATAATCATATATCTAATCTTATCTTGCATCAAACACGGATTCCACAAGCGTGTTTATTTGGATTTGTGTGCTTCAGCACTTTGAGGCATTTTGCTCAGTGTGTCCTCTTATATGAATATTTTAAACAGATAAATTAATTATGAAGGTTCTGTACAAATTCTCTGCACCTTTGGTTTATTTGAGAAGTTCTTGTTGTTTCAAGTTTGGTCATTAGCCAGAGAGGTTCAGCTTATTAAGCATATATGTTAATTCCAGACTTGTTCTGAATTTTCTCAGCACAAGGATTTTTTCTTCTTTTGACTTTTGATTATTTTAAGTTCAAGTAGAAGCTCATATCAATTCTTTTTTTTTTTCTTGTTTCATTGTAACTTGGTCTAAGATGAGAAAGTAAACGACCACAGCAGTTTTTCCTTAAAACTGGAAGAGGTACTAGTAGCGATTATTCATTTTTAGAAAGTAAACAAATCCCATTCCATCGCATGAATATTTTCAACAAAATACATTACATATAACTTGTTGGAAATGCAAGTGAGAAAACCAGAGAAAAACCAGTGAAAGAAGAAAAGAAAATTAAGGCAAATAGCTAACTTTTCTGTTTCCTTCAGCACCTTAAAAGTAGACATAGTCTACTGTTCAAGACAGCTTTTATGATACTAAAAATAGAAAAGATACCTATATTACTCTCTTTAGCAAGATTAAACATATAAAAAAGATTATCCACTAACACAAACTTCATACAATTTAAAATCCAAGGAATATGAAATATAAACTTGGATAAAATAAAACTTCTTTGGTTGACAGCAAAATTATCAACCCTTCAACACTCCTCCTTGTCAAGTTTGCTAAAAATGCCAAGCCACTTTCCTAAGACTTCAAACCTGTGATTGGAAAGTGGTTTGGTGAGGATATTGGCTAGCTGCTCTTCAGACTTGCAATGTTGCAAACAAGCTTCTCCTTCCTATTCAGCTTCTCTTACAAATTGATATTTAATCTTGATGTGTTTAGACTTATCATGAAATACAAGATTCTTAGCAAATGCCATAGCTGATTGGTTGTCACAAAATATGATCTGAAGGTTCATTTTACTTCCGATCAAGGTCATTAAGCACCTTCCTAAACCAGATGGCCTGATTCACTGTACTTGCTGCAACCACATACTCTGCCTTCCTATAGGCTGTGCCACTGTTTCTTATTTCTTTGATTCCAACTCATCATACCTGATGTAAGGTAAAAGATGAACAGAAGTGCTCTTCATGTCATCCATAGAACCTCCCCAATCACTGTCAGTGAAACTTCATTAATTTAATCTCAGAATTTCTTCCGAAAAAAATTCAATAGTTAAAAGACCCTCTTGTATACCGTCATAAGGCACATCTCGTGGTTCAAAGATTTACTCAAAAATTTGGTGTTGACTATAAGGAGACCTTCCCTCCGGTTGCCAAGATAAATACTGTTAGAATTCTTTTGTCAGTTGCTATTAATTTTTTTAAAATGTAAGGTAAAACTATATTAAAGAATTGAAGGCACCTAGGGGAAGTGTATCTTAATATAAGGTGAAACTATATTAAAGTATCAAAGGCATCAAGGGGAAGGGTATCGACTATATATCTAAAATCTTCCACCTTATAAATGTCGCGTCCCAATAAAATAGATTCAAAATAAAGAAACCAGCTATCCATCAATTTATGAATCTTCATTTTCCACCCCCTCAAAGATCCTACTATTTCTCTTTTTTCAAATAACCTAAAATATAGTCAAAGAAATGAGATTAGCAAGTTTTTTCATTTTACATAAACTTCCCTAAACCCAGATCTCATCCTTTACCGATCCTGCAATGTCCCGGGAAATCCTAAGCAAACCATACGCCATAGATCACAAATTATAGACCATCGGGCACCTAAGCAGTAAGTGGTTGCAATTTTTCGGTGCCTTCTTACACGAATAGCATCTGTTCATCCAAACTCTCCCTCTCCTCATCAATTTATTAATGATTAAAATACATTCTCTACCTGCTTCCCATGCAAAAAAATCAATTCTAGTGGCACTTTTGTTTTCCAAACTTGCTGCCCAGATAACTGCTCCCCCCTCCCCACCCACCACCCCAATTCCCCTCTAGTTGTCAATTTGTTATAGAAAGATCTTGCCATGAAAAAATCATTTTTATTCGACTTCCACACAAGCTGGTCATCACATGGATTCAATTGAACATTGGCTAGGATTTGTATTAAAGGTTCATATTCCCCCACTTCCCAATCATTCAGGTGTCTAGTCACACTAACAAACCGCTCCCTATAGGAATAATCACCCCCAGCTGCATCCATCACCCCAAAACTTGCTATCAATAATGGATGGTCATTGTCTCAAATTGACGTAAAAAATGCCTTCTTTGCTTGGCAATCTTAAAGAAGTATTCATGAAGCTTTCTCCTAGTCATCCTATAAGTGGTAATCCCAAATTGGTTTGTAAACTCTATAAATCTATTTATGATTGAAGCGAAGTCCTCGCACATGGCATACAAAGTTAAGTTATGCTCTTGAAGCTCTTGGTCTTTTAAAAAAGTTCTGCTGATTCCTCATTATATGTTCGACTTGGAAGGGATAACAAACTAATCGTACTTATTTATGTTGATCATCTTACTATCACTGCAAATAATGTTGATTCTATTGCTCAGTTGAAGAAGAATCTCCAACATCAATTTCCTAAACCTTAGTTCCTTAGAGTACTTTCTTGGTATTGAAATAGCCACTTCTAGCGAAGGGCTCTTTCTTAATCAGCATAAATATATTATAGATTTGTTTCAAAATGCTGGTGTGCTATATATTAAACCTGCAGCTACTCCTCTAGATAGTAAAATGAAACTTGATTTGACGAGAACTCTTGATTTGCCTAGTTACTATTAGCAACTTGTCGAAAAAGCTTATCCATTTAATTATCACACGGTCAGACATCTCTTTTGCTGTAAGTCTTATCATCAACATATGCAGATACCACCGGTTGGAAATGCGAAAGAGAAAACCAAAGAAAAACCATAGAAGAAGAGAAACAATTTGAGGCAAGAAACTAATTTTTCTGCTTCATTCATCATCTTAAAATTGGACATGATCTGTTGTCCAGGACAGCTTTGATAATACTAAAAGTAGAAAAGATACCTTTGTTACTCTTTTAAGCAAGCTAAGACACACCAAAACAAGATTATACATTGGCACAAGCTTACTCTGACTTAAAAACCAAAGGGTATAAGACATAAACTTGGATAAAATAGAACTCCTTTGGTTGACAACAAAATTATCAACCCTTCAACATAACTTGTAACGAAAACAATCTTTCAGCCAAGATATTATTTTCATGTCAATGGTTGGTCACTGAACACAATTTTTAATGAAACATACATGGTTAGTACCTATGAAATTGTGTTCACGATAATTTAGGTGCTTGCAAAGATTTTATTCCTTCTATGGCTATAGCTCTACCTATATCAACCAAAATCCTAAGTCTAGGGTCAGCTTGTCGCAGACTCTGAGATGAACTTAAGTCTTCCTTCCCACCGGAATCTTCCATCGCTGGACATTTGTTTTTCACGTCTGATGCTGGAGACGCAATGCATTTTCTACGATCATCCTCAAGTTCCTTCAAATTTCTTGTTTGATACTCTATATATTGGTTTATGACCTCTGCAAATTGTGCTAGCCGCTCTAGTTCTTCTTCCATCACTCTTTTTTTCTCTTCAAGATATTGTCTTGCATCTTCCATGGACTCTAAAAGCTTTTTTATTGTCTCTTCCCATGCTCGAAGTTGCGAAATCTGTTTGTCCAGTCCTGCAAGAATGTGATCCCCCATCTCTTCTGTAGCACTTGCACCCTCCATGATTTGGGGCAACACCTGAATCCAAAATATTTTTTGGGTGGAAAAAGATAAAGAAAAGGAAATATGTATACATCTCTAGAGATGCTGCTTCAGAAGAAAAAATATACAGATACCCAGGTTATAAGGTACATATATAGGGTACAGTATTTTGTTCAAAATTATTACAATATTTTACATATTATATAGAAACTATACACAAAATGCCGTCACCAGGGCTTGACATTATAGAGTTTTTCATCTGGCTAACTGTGGATATCAAGATATAATATATATATATATATATATGTATATGTATATGCTAGAGAGATTATGGTTATAGTACCACAAAGATGAGCAACATACCTCTGAAATGACACATTCAACGTGAGCAACAAAATCACATTCTGCGCAGTAATATACAGGGTCCTTTGGATCTCTCAAAGTCTCACATACATCACAGTAAAATTCATCATCGGGCTGAAAATCATCCGGGACAGGCAGTTCAGTGAAACTTAAAGGATCAACATGACATCCATGTTTAATGATACGAGGCATTGAGGGATGACAGTGAAGATGGAAATTGATCCGGCACTCAATACACCGGACGTGGAAACCATTGCATTGCCTGCCACAAATTTCACAGAAGCGCTGCATTCTTGTGTCCGGAAACAAAATTAGCAGGTGGCCATGATCACCAAATTTAACAGATGGTTTTAAGGTAGCACATTCGATGTGCAGTGAAAGCTGACATTTGGAACAGCTGTAGATGAAGCCTCTTGCCTCTTCCTCACATACAGCACAAGCTGGAGGCGGCATAGGCAACAAAGTATAATTAGTAAAAGCTTGGAGAGTAAGAGGGTGAATAGGATCAAATGGATGCTCGATTTGTCTTGGCAATTCGGAACATGATATTTTTCCCGGCTATTGCAAATTGGGGGCAGGTTTTATGCATATAAAAGTTGCATCTCTCACAAAAATAGAAAGGACCCGATTCGAATTCCAGACCACAAGCACTGCAGACGAGAAGAAATGATCCTCTTGCTCTGCCATATTCCTCAACACTGTTATGGAATTTCAAGGGATGTCCATGGCTGAAATGCTCTATCTGCTCCCCCCCTTGGTCTTTCATGGTTGATAGCAAAGCACATTCAACATCCAGGTTGAACTCACAATCCCCACATCTGAATCTTAAACCGGAGTCTGGATGATAACAAACAGAGCAAGTGAAATCAGACATGGTTGAGACCAGAATGAGAGGACATGGATGGAAAAAGTGATGCAGCTTCTGTGGTAACTTGTCTATGCAGGAGTTATGAAAGAACACGTAGCATTTGTTGCAACCCCAGCTTTCCATATCTGAGCAGGGAAGTCTACATACCTTGCAGCTAAATCGATAAGAA